TAACTCTTATAAGTAAGATCATGCTTTACATGTAAATAATCATATTATTTCAAGTTTCTTCAAATTGAAATATTTTATACTAATCATTTTTTCTTTTCTTTTTCCTTTTCAATTTTTACCTTTCAAACACTTTTCCTCTCCCCTTTTCCAAACTTTCAAAAGCGGATAAAAAGATGTCAAAGTATCAATCAAATTTGTATTAATTAATCTTATACAAAGTATATGAAGGAAATTATTAGACGTCAACGGAGTTGATCCTTATATTGTCTTTATTTAAATTTACCGAAAAAGAAACGGTCTCTTTACATATACAGTGCTAATATAAAGTCCTAAGCTTACAAGTGGCCAAGTTGTATATACTGAGACGGGATAAGTTTGAACACTTTCAAACCCATACAATGCCATTTTCATTCTCTATCTGCACCGTATGACGCTATACCACTGATCTGTCATTGAATAAATATCTGACACATGATATAATATTTAATTTAATAAGTAATAAAACGAATAGATTAACTATGCATTGATCCATTTGGATGTATTTAACTTCTATGTTTATGTTTATGTTTATGTTTATGTATATGATGGCTGATAATATATATTTTTTATTAGAGAAATGTATTAAACAAAATATAAGAGGTATCCTAACCTTTAATATAATATATTTAATTAAAATGTACTGATTTTATATTATTGTTTAATTATAATTATTATATAATTAAAAAATCATCAATTTTAACAATTATTACTTCAAAAGTCATTCTTAAAATAATTTTTGTCTTATTATCAATATAAATTTTTTTACATCAATATAATGTTTCTTAATGTAGTTATTCTTATAAATTAAAAATTGTTTAATGTAATCAATCTAAATAATATATTGTTTAAAAAAAGAGTACAGTCTTTTCAATCAAGATTAAATTTTATGTTAATTAGGTCCACCAAATGTAAACAATATCAAACGGATTATTCCTAAAAGATCCCATTGTAGAGAAGCCATAAAGACTACATATAAGCAAAATGCTTTGGCCTTTTATTTCCTCTAATCAGACCACATTGGAACATTGTTGATGATAATGATTATACGAACCATCTCAAAACGTGATTCGTGTCTAACAAAGCCTAATAACCTTCTACTAGTCAAACGCTAAAGCAAGATGCTAACAATAACACATTAATTATAAATCTTGTATTTCAAAAACTTGCTGAAATTTGACAAAAGTTCTACCTAAATTATAAATATATATTTGGAAGATATTTTAGATCTTCCAAAGATGTTCCTAAAACTCTCAGTCTTTCTCTCTCTGTCTCTCTCTTTCTATAATATACTTAATTATTTAAATAGTATCTCTTACTTAACCGTTTTTGTTGAAATGCTCTAAATTTGCCTGCTGCCTAATTTTTTTACTCAATTTAATATATGTGGAGTTTGAAATTTGAAAGAGAAATATTAGAGGTACGTGGAGTATGGATTGACCTGATTTTTATTATTACATCTTAAAATTTTCTTGTTATTATTTTGTGTATTATATGGAGAAGTTAAGGTCTATTACAGTGAGTTATGATAAGCTATTATATATCTGTATTTTAGAAAGTTGAAAAGATTTTTTTTTTCTAATATCTTATATTCAACATATTACATTAATAGAAATATCTCTGCTTATCGTACTTATTCTTGTTCTTTATTTTTCATTCTTGTTACTACTGTTTTATATAGTGATTTTTGTGGAAAATTTTAATATATAACTTCGGTCTAATTTTATACTGTATGTATGAAAGCTCTAATAGCTTTGGTCTTATTCTCTATGTTTTGATTGCTCTGGTGTTTTTCTAATGTATGTGTAGATGCAATACATTTTCTACTGAAAGTTGAACAATCACTTCGACATGCTTATTTTATATCTTGAAGTCTAATACGCGCTTACATGCTGTGAGATCGATACAACTGGTTGGCTTCTAAATTGTCTAACTTATGAGCATCATCGCATAACTCTACATTTTAAATTAATGATTGTAGCAATAGTATAATTTGTCGTGCTCTGATCCTAAAACTTAGTTAAGAAACAAATACTAACCTTAAAGTTAATCATAAAAAAATTGACGTAGTTAGCATATGTTCGGGGCTTTATTAAACCTTAGTAGTTCACTAAATCATATATATTATCTCAACATGTTGACAACCTAAATTTTAAGGGTGACAAATAGAAGTACTTAAGTTCTGAGTTAAATACTTGAAACTGGTCAAACTAATATTTTACCACCGTCACTTTACTCAAATTCATTATAAAAAATAAAGTCTACGGTGATCAACATTGATCATAGCCACAAACTTTACTTCAGCCACAAGCTTCTTATCCACTTCAAGTGAATCACCATATAAGTTTATCTCGGATTTCGTTATATTCCTAATGAGTTTAACATATTCTTAATCATTAACCATTGCACAATCGGCTTTAACATAAACCTTGTGAAAGTTATTAATGAGTTTATTAAGTATACAGAAAGTCAGTTTATTAAATCAGATAAGAAGAATACAAGAAATCAACGAAAAGAAAATTGTCTGATGAAACTAGATGATATATATTGAAAAAGTGTGCAGTTGGGGTTTGACAATGAAACGTCTAACCGACGAAAGATAAAACGTCTTCTCAAGCACTGCTGCCTAACGTATAAAAGGAAAGAATAAAAAGAGAAAAAAAACTCATTTTTATTGTTAGTTCTATAAGTGAAAATCGGTACAAAGGTAGTTAAACCCACTACGTTGCTGCTGCAATACCAAATTATTACTACTTTTCGCACATGGAGACAAAGAAAATGATATGAGCATTAAGTGAAGTCTTAATATACAAATTTTCTTTCAAGGATATTGAAATAAGTGTCACCAATGTTTGTCAACTCGAAGAACTATAAATGGAACCTATATACGTGTGAAGAGAAGCAAATGCAGCCGTACTTTTGAATCATAATTATAAATTAAAATGATCAAAAAATTATGTTTTGTATATTCTTTATTTTTATAATTTTAAACCCATCTAACTCAAATTCTATTATATTGAAATTGATTAGAACTAGGTTCATTATCTTCGTAATATTAAATTTATTAAGCTCAAATTTAATTATATATTTAAAGATTTTGCTAACCTCACCTCTGAAATTTAAATATTCATAGACTTTAATACTCATATTCGTTGTACACTTTTTTAAGCTTCTTAATTCTTATACATGTTATTTCCTTTTGTTTCATATAATAACTTCAAAAATAATAATGAAAAATGAAAGACACATGTTACTTTGTCAACGTTCCTTAAAAAATTTGTATTATATTATATTTTTAAAAACATAAAACTATTTTTAAAAAAGAAATTAAACATGTTCTAATGTATATTCATTTTGTTATTTCATTCATTATTCTTTCGTTTACTATTCAACAGTTGATAGATTATTGATATTATTTCTGATCAATTGATTTCCTTATACTCTCTAATTAAACTTGAGGCATAATTTCTAGTTCATTAAATTATAAAAATATATAACCTTAGTGAGAAAAGTTTAAAAAGCTTCAATAAAAATATAATTGAGAGAGAGAGGGAGGGAGGATATTTTAAAATTAATATATTGTTTTAAACGCATATGCAGGTACTTAAAACCCTAGGTATCTGCATAGATCATTGCATGAACCAATCAAGAAGCATTATTTTCGGAAGCCCTACTTTGACCCATCTTAATTCCCTTTATATGTATGACTAGGTGTGTGTGTTGTGTTGCATTCTTTGCCAAGACAAACTAAAACAAAGGGAACACATATAAAAAGGAAAACAGTAAAAGGGGGAAATTGATCATTTTTTTAATATATGTGTAAAGATATTCATTAAAATAATAATAATAATAAAATTTTATTAAAAATTATAACATTTAATATCATTATGTGATTTCTAATACACTAAAATCCTATAATTTTTGTATTGCATGTTAAAGGACACGTTAAAAGAAATTAATTTTTATCGTAGTAAAAGATTTGTGAGACTGGATAATTAATTTTAAAGTCAGCACATATAACGAGTCTCACGGAAGATTTATTTTATATATTGACGCATCTCTCTTCGGCAGATAATTAATAACAAGCCAAGCCAAGACAATGCAGCCCTCACAACGTTAAAATTACTCAACTCTTAGACAAGGCTAAGAGGAAAATATTTGTAACGTGTTTTTTTAAACACGTTATTTGTAGATGTTTATTATAAAATAAATTTCATATAAACCTCGTCGAATAAAAATTAAAATAGGTTCAAGTTATTTGATGAATAAAGTTACACAAATTCATCCTAATTACTCATCTAAAAATGAAAGATAGAAATTAAAACAACAGATTTTTTAATACATTCAACATCATTTAGCAATTTTTCAAAAAAACTATATACTTAATGTTCTTCTTAAAAGAAATTGGCAACTAATTTGATGGTAATAGTTACGGAGGCTAAGAAATATTGATTGAAAGAGAAATGAAGGCTAAGGTACGTCATGAGTGAGTGGTGGCATGAAGTTTGACCGTGAAATTAACCCAGCTTGGCTCCATGTGACTTTTGCAACGGTGGAAACTTCAACGATGGCACTTTGTAGTAGGCGGTGTATCCGACCATTGCGGCTTCAACCTCTCTTTCACTTTCTCTGACATCTTGTCTCCAACGTTGAAGTTGAATTCTTCCACTTATTATATCTATTCTCTACACTCAAACATTACTTTACTCTTACAATGTCTTTCTTTGAGTGCAACTGGTTTGGTCTCTCTTTGACATTTTATAAGTGTGTATCCGTGTTCCGCTGCCTCCAGCGCTAATTAATACTTATCTTATTTTTTTACACTTCATTTTTTTTTATTATATATTTTCAAGAGTCAAATACTTCATGCAGGTCCTCTCTATATTAACATAGAAAGAGAGGCTTTATTTGCTGACCCATCAAAGAAACAAGAGAGAAATAAAATCAAGCTATCTTTTTTGAATATGAAGTTTGGTTCCCAAAAATCTGCTCTTGAAGTTGAAGGAGTCAAGCACGAGAAGAGAAGTGAATCTAGTGTTGGTGATGAAGATGATCTTCGTGAACCAAAGATCGTTGTCCAGGTGAAAATTAATTCTATGCCAACATATCTAATTAAGTACGGTGAACTTTTTAAGTTTAAATGTCAAAACACTCCCTTTTTGTATATTGACTTGAATCAAAGCCTCATGCATATGGTGTTTATGATTTGGCACCAAAAGAATTAGAGAAAATTAATTGATCAAACTGTTCTGATCCAACTCTAAACCTGTTTTGTTTTTCTACATCTGCAACCCGTATTGTTTCCAATTAGTTTCAAGATAAGAAACTATCATCTTCTCGTCTTGTTTGAACATCTCAAACATTTTATAGTTGAAGGAAATTCAATCACATGTATCCAGGAGAATGTGTTTTCATATTCTATAAGATTTACAAATAAAAACTAGCTAATTGATGAAATTATTGAAATATAATATGATTGTAGCTACTTGCGCATAGCCCAAGTAAATTGAGAAAAATTGAGATTTTGGTAGAGATCGTAAACTAATGTTGTGATAACTGCTTAGTATACTCAACAAAGATAGCATCACAATTTTTTTTTCTTTTTAATTTGGTTAGATGATTAATTGTAATATGGATATATGATATTTTTCATTTTTTTTTCTCTTTTTAACTTCTTTTTTCTCTAATAGCAGAGATCTAATGATCTTTCTATAGTAAAAAATAGATTGAGTTTACGGTATATCTTCTCTGTGGTTTTTACATGATTTGCTCTATTTGTCTTTTCATGCTCTACTGATTCCAGGAAATTGCTTATCCATAGCATACTGATATTTAATAATTGTTTGGTTTAAGGAAAATCCAAAAGTTTGTTGAAAATACTTCATTATATACACTATATATTACCATTTTATTTGCTTACATAGCTTCAAACGAACTTTTATAATTAATCTGGGCCTTTGATAAGAGTTGACTCATCCATGTGCCGCGAAAGCTAGCAATGGAGCTTATATCTAGCATATGACAAATCAATTCATTGCACATGCTAAAACAAAAGATTCTCAGGTTTTCCTAAAATAAAAGAAAGGGAAACGTCTCAATTTAATTTATCACATAGTTCATCATTATCGCATACATTTGCTCATTATTTCACTCCGCCAGTTTGATTCTCTTTTTCCATATTTGTTCCAGCATTAAAAAACAGTAGTCCCAAATTTGTATTACAATAGAAAGAAAAGGGAATTATCAGCCCTTGTGCAGAACGCTAGTTACATACTTGCATCCGAAGAGGCAAAGTAACAAGAAATTTTAGTTGGGTATGCATATTTTAACTTTAATACCCTTTTGGAATGTTATACACAGGTGCCAGACATGACTACCCTCGAAAAATCCGCCGTGGCAGCCAGGCCAAAGGCATCCCCAACCGGAAAGGAAGAGGTTAGATTTGTTAATACTAACTATATTTTATATCTATGCAATGTACGAATTTATAAAATGTATCATATTTTATTTTTATATTATCAATCATTTACAATGTATTATTAATAATATTAAGTAATTATATATATATATATATATATATATATATATTTCAATGAATAAATTGTTATTAATTTTTCAACAAAGAAATACTATAATATTTTTTAATTATTTGAAAATTTAATTTGTAATTAATTTGAATATTATAGAATTGTGATGTCAAAAAAGGTCCTTAAATGATATCAAAATGACTATTCTATTAAGTTACTAGTATTTTTAGCTCTTTAACTTATAAATTGATTTCAAGCATTTCAAAGGTGCAAGTTATTATTATTATTATTATTATTATTATTATTATTATTATTATTATTATTATTATATAATTTAAAATATAAAATTGAAATATTATTAGTTATTTAAATTTAATTTTAAAGGTTGACATTAAAAAAATTATGCTAGCAACATAATTTTAATATATTTCATGTAGTTGGTCAATCTTTTAAAAGTCAACAATACTTTTAAAAAAGTGTTTAATGTACAAAATAATTATTTTAATTTATTTAAAAATTAATCAATAACAAAAAGTATATTAAAAACTGTATTTAAAAGAGTGTTAAAGAATGTGCGAATTGTTGGTATTTTTCTAACCTATATATAAATCGAATAAACTTTTTTTAATATATATCTTTTATAATTTGAAAGACTTAACAATATTAAGAAGAGTAAATTAATTTATAGTATGAATCTTTAAAGGTCTTAAAAACTTTAAAATATTAAAATCAAATTTATAAACTCATATATAAATTCGTTATAAGCTTATATTAAATTTAGTTAAAAAGATTATCAAATCTAATAAGCATTTTTATGATTGTAATGTCAAATAAATAAAACTAAAATAATTTGAACAAAATATTTTTTAGTTTACTCTCTTTGATTCATAAATTTTAAAATTTTAGTTAAAATAAAAATTTATTTATTTATAATTTTTAATTCATTGATTACTATCATAAAAAATTTACTTTTATATAATTAATTGGATTGTTAAAAAAAATCATATTTCTTATTTGTTTTTGAAAATTTAAAATAACTATAAAATATATATTTAGAATATTAGAATATATAAAAGACAAAGAAATATATAAATAAAATGAATGAAATAAAAATTTTTTTGAATAATTGTTTTAGTGAAAGAACTTTAACGTGTATAAAAATTATGTAGTATTATTGTTTAGACTTAATTTTCTCTGTTTAGATATAATCAAACGCAACTAAGTATAATGATTTATATTTTTTATAACATTTCTTTTATAATAGTTTTTATGATACACTTTTATTATTTTTATTCCATTATCTTCTAAAATGTTTATTTTAAAAATGTATAAACGTAATACATTGCTCAATTATAATTATTATTCTCGTATGTGATGTCTCATAAAAGCAATTCGCATCTTTAAGTATATATGATTGGAAAACCTTAAGAGAAGACGATCCTTCCATTTCATTATGAAACACGAGTAGTGTTCCATAATTATGATGTAACTTACAATGAAAAAGGAAGACATGGAAATACATAAAAAGGGTTGATTTGGTTATAAAAACATGGATGTGAATCCTACGGACTCCAATTTTCAACCCAAAGTTTTGTTTTAACAAGGAAAGAAAATAAAGTAAAAAATATAAATAATATATATTTTTATTTATTTAAAGAAAAGATAAACAAAAAAGTTTATTTACAAAATTTTAAGAATTTCTTTTTTTTTAACAGTTCAAACTATAATTTTTTCCTCTTTATTTTCGTTTCTTGCAATTAGAGGTAAGGTATTCACGGATTGCATATATTCATATTCATCCCAATTCCCTTTATGGGTAATTATACAGATAATTATTTTGATTGTTTTCATATCATATTTTTTTTTTATAATTTCTTGAAAAATTAAAGAGTTTACTTTGTATTTTTTTTTTCTTTCAAATCACTCAATATAATGTCACCGTGTGTGTGTTTGTATGAAGTGAATTATAACATGATTTATCTGATCTATGCATGAATGGTTGCAGGTTGATGAACTTGAAAATGCGAAAGCCGAAATGGGTGAAGTCATAGAGGAAAATCAACGGTTAAAGATGAGTTTGAGCCGAATACTAAATGATTACCGTACACTGCAAATGCAATTCGATTACATAGTTGAACAAGAGACAAAAGATTCTTCTGATAAACAGAAGAATAAACATCATGAAAAAATAGAGGAATCAGAGTTAGTTTCCCTCAGTCTTGGAATGCTTCCAAGTAATCAAAGAAACAACGAAAAAGCTAAAGTCTGTGAACCATTGAAAGAGGAATTAGAAGACAAAGAAGGCTTAGCTCTTGGACTGGAGTGCAAATTTGAAACATCAAAATCTGGAAGCACAACTGAAAATTTACCAAATTCAAGTCCTGCCAATAGTGGTGAAGTACCAAAGGAAGAAGCAGCTGGGGAGAGTTGGCCAGCCAGTAAGGGACACAAGACAACTAGAGATGCTATAGAAGATGAAGTTTCCCAACAAAATTCTGCAAAGAAAGCAAGAGTTTGTGTGAGAGCAAGATGTGACACCCCAACTGTAAGTATCTCTTATCAATGCTTTCTATTTAATTTTTGCAATATAATATTTTAATAATAAATTTTTATACCAAATTTTTATTACATCAATTCTCTCTCTCTCATATCTTATCCCTTATCTTTTTATTATTTTCCTATTTCTCTAATTTATAACAAAAATTATACAAATACTATTTCTCCTAATTTTTTCACACGTATACGTAGATAAATATCCATGCTGTTGGGTTAGGTCCGTTATTTAATATAAAAAGCTAATTTTTGACATGCATACGCTGATTTCTTAAAACAGTTGAACGATGGATGTCAATGGAGGAAATATGGACAAAAGATTTCAAAGGGTAATCCTTGCCCTCGAGCTTACTACCGTTGCACAGTTGCACCATCATGCCCCGTAAGAAAGCAGGTATCCGCTACATTACAACACTCTTTGGGTTCAATGTGATATTTTCATACTCCTTCTTTACTCTCATTTTAATCTTTATTTATTTCTATCTCTCTCTTTATTTCATGAGTCAAAATTAGTATATTTGCTTTCTAACTTTAAATTCAATTTAAATTTTTTCTTCTAATTTCTTATTTTGTTTATTTTAATTCTTTAACTTATATAATATTTTAATTAAGTTATTTTTCATTAAAAATACTGATTTTATGCAAAGTTTTTATCTTATTCTATTATGAGTACTATATGCGTATTATTTATTATTTTTTTAAAATTTTATTTTTTTCCTCCCTTCCATCTTCCTCTTCTTGTCCCATTTCTTCTTTCTTCTAGTCTTTAACACTGACACAACCAAATCAAATTAACAATGTCACTGTCCCTACTCAATTTCTTCCTCATACTAGACATCTCCTGACACCTCTTCCTCGTACCAAATCAAATTATCAATGCCATGCTACGAGTGGGGATAGTGTAAAAATTGAGTGCCTAAAAAATATATATACTTTTAGTTCAAAATACTAAGGGTATAAATAACTTAAGTGTAACTCAGAAGAGTGCGTAGCTTTTTTTCTATTCATTTGTCGTAACATAGAATAATTAATATTCTGGATTAACCCTACGTATGCAACACTTCAGGTGCAAAGATGTGCTCAAGACATGTCCATATTAATAACAACCTATGAAGGGACTCACAACCACCCTCTTCCACTTTCAGCCACTGCCATGGCTTCCACCACTTCTGCAGCTGCTTCCATGCTACTGTCTGGATCATCAACCTCACATTCTGGATCAATCCCATCAACAAGCATGACAACCACTACTGCGAATCTTCATGGAATGAACTTTTACCTATCAGATAACTCCAAATCAAAGCAATTCTACCTATCCCACCCTACACTCTCATCTTCATCACCTTCACACCCAACCATCACTCTAGATCTCACTTCCAACCCTCCCTCTTCCTCAACACCTTTTGGAAGATCATTGAACTACAACTCCCAAAGGTACCCTTCTTCCACAAGTCTAAACTTCAGTTCCTCAGAATCCAATGCAACATCTTGGAGCCTCAGCTACAACAATCAACCTTACAACAACAGGAACATCCTTAGTAACTTAAACCTTGCAAGACAACCAATGGAAAACATCTACAATTCCTACATGCAAAGGAACAACAATCCAATCCCTGCCCAACATTCTCTACCAGATACCATAGCTGCAGCAACAAAAGTAATCACATCAGATCCCACGTTTCAATCAGCTTTGGCAGCAGCTCTTACTTCAATTATTGGCAATGGAAGCACTCAAGGAAACCATAGTGTTGGAGAAATTTTGAGTCAGAAAATGAAATGGGGTGATCAATTGTTTCCATCTTCTGCTTTACCTTCATCTTCTAAAGTCAATAGCTGTGCATCAGGTTTCTTGAGCAAAGCACCTTCTAATGCACAAACAGGAAGTTTGATGTTTCTTCAACCATTTTCCGACCCCAAAAGTGCATCTGGGTCTCCTGGTGATAACAGAGACGACAACAATTAATTTGTGAATGGAACTTCTCATGTATATGTTAGGTCATGTTTAAATCTTGCATTAATTTATTTAATTTCTATGGAATGAAAGAGAGACACATGATTTTAGCATGACCTTATCATGTTAAAATTTTAGTATTAGATAGCAATTTGGCCTGCAATTGTGTAATTAGGATGGAAGAATAATATTGAGAATGTACACATAATTAAAAAAAAGAGTTTTCCTATGTCTTGCTGTCATTTTTTTTATTGATCTTTGTTATTTAATAAAGTAAATATTGTATAAAAAGTGCATATATTTATTATCTCGAAAGTAAAAAAATATTTAATATATTATTTTAGTAATTAAAATTTCTAAAAATATAAAAGATATGATAATTTAGAACTATTCAAAAAAATGCTACATCTAAAATTGCTTTATTTAGTGATGACATCATCCTGTGGGTGGTAAGCTGAAGATAAGAAAAATGATTCTATACCGGTCTTTTACCTTATAACCTAAGCTTTTGAGTTGATTTAGATAGTTGCCTCTAGTTTTATAAATTAATTAATATTTAAATAAAATAAATATTCATGATGTCCACCCTTTCAAGCTCAAAATTTATTGTATGAAATAAGTCGAACAAACTTCTAGTAATGTCTCTTCGCAAAAGTAAGCTATTGAATAAAATCGGAGTTATTTTTCTTTTGAATAACTCATATAGCGCCTGCATATATTCTTCATAAAATCCGTGTATTTTTTTCCCTTCATAACACTTATATACCGATTTTACCCTATATTGACATAATACTATTCTAAAATACATTCTGTTTGATTGATTATACCGAATTCATGTATTATATACTCTATATACGACAGAGAAAAAAAAATTTGTGTTTCTGTTGGTGATATCTAAACAAAAAGTATATCCTGTTATACAAATACTACAATGAAAGTAATAACACTGTTTCTAGAGATTTATGTTGAAGCACCACTTATGCTATTTAATTAGTTAAACTAAATCTTTAAATCAAAAGAAGTAATATTTTTAAAATTAGATCATCAATTGAACTAGTAAATTTATTATTTTAAAATTTACTTATTTAAAACGTTCACTTTGAATAGAGGGATTAAATGATAAATAAGGCTCCAAAATGTGTTCCTGCTCATTATATAGTAATATGTTTTTTCATGAACATCTTTCTTGCAATGACAATAATATATTACAATTATTTAAACAAACTAATAAACATACAAAGTTAACAATCACTTACAAGCAATGCAACTTGCTCATCTATTATCTAGTATAAGTTATGTACAATTACATGTATTTTTAGTTTGAAGTCAACAAATTAAATTGCAGGTCATTATTCATCACCCAATCTAGTCTCTTGTCTCAAAGCTTCATTATGCCCATGAACCTAGTGGACCAATTTTCACTAGTCTTCCCTATAAGAATAATGTCATGTAGCTGGTTCGGTTGGGTTGAAATAGAGTACAAGGAATATGTTGTGCATCCCAAATTTCTGCATCACATGGTCAGACTAATCTCACTTACAAATTAATTTGAAAATATAGGAGTGGCACAATTGATCTTTAAATATTCATACCTGCAGCGCATATAATAGGCAATAAATTCATCAACTCCATACTATACGGTTGTCACATAATCTTCATTTTCAAATTCATAAAATATAGTTAATCATAAATGAATATTTAAATTTTAATAATTGATCAATGTAAGAAATACCTTTATCACATTTCAAATGATCAAATTTATATCTAAAGTAAGAAAGATCATTCCTCATCCTTTTTATAACTATGATGTATTAACCACATATAAAGACAAATATAAACAAACATCAAGGTCGCACAAACAATGCACAATAAAGGATATGTGAGAGTAGTTCCGTTTTAACTTAGAGAGCGTTTAGAACTACTTTAAAATCTTGTACTCTCTTATGTGTTGCATTTAAGAGAGCATTTAAATAATCGCTCTCAAATATTGATATTGGAGAGCGATTCCTCGTGGAACTGCTCTTAGAAGCTTTAGCACAGAGAGTCGTTCAAACTTTAACCACTCTCTAATCTTGAAACATCAATTTAAACAAAGTCCTTCAGCATATTTATAAGCTAATTAAAGTTTACATATAATACTAGTTAGGTATTTTGGTATTTGTTTTTGGAGAGCAGTTCCATGTTAAACCGCTCTCCAATCTCACACTTCTAAGAGTGGTTCCATGTTAACCACTCTCCATCTCTACTTTTAAGAGCTGTTATTTATAAACCGCTCTCTAAAATCAGCTATTGAGAACAGTTATTTATGAACCACTTTCTAAAGTCAACTTCTCAGATCAATTTTTTGTGAACTGCTCTCTTAAGTTTAGGTAAATTTTGTCTAACTTTTAATAAATTTGACATTATTTCAAATTTTAGCATATCTAATGAACTATATATTATTAAAAAATAGTGCAAACAGATATAGTATCTCAAATATAGAGCTTGATATTCCAAAATTTTAAAGCAAATACATATTATATTTATCAATTAATTATTAAATCAAATTGAGAATAATTGAATATCTCAAAGTAACAACATAATACACAGAAAAGGAACTTAAAAGATTACAATTACATTGAACCATGGTAAAAAATGAAAAACAATCTATACACTTTTGTCTTACGTATATACATTTAATGACTAGCTCTTGTAAAAAAGCATTAAGATCTATTATGGTTAATGTGTCCTTTAAATATCTATAGTATATATATGCATACTACTCTTTTTGCGCTTGATGAATTCTATTGTAAGAAAAGGTTAGGATATGAAAATCTAGAAAATACTAGAGACAAAACAACAAAATACAAAACTAATTTAAGTTAAATATAAACAAAATGGACAGACACCTAACTAGAAAAAATAGAAATGATTAAGTATTTTTGGATATAAAATCCTCTTACATTAACTATGATGATAGTTTGTCCATAGTGCAAAGCATCTCCAAAGAGACAAATAATATCCACAGTCATCGTTGTTTGTTTATTTAAGATACTTTGTGGAAGAAAAAAAATATAAAAACCAGAATTAATGCAGAATATATACACTGTAATAAGTTACAAGTGAAAAGGGTTTTTGGATTATATATATATATATATATATATATATATATTATATATATATATATATATATATTTGAGGATGAACATCAAATACAAAACAAGTGCAGCTAAAAGCTTTAGGAGGCAAAGAAAAAAGAGATTGTGATGGGAAAGTATAGAGTGGAGAATCTCACCATGTAACATAGATGATAACATGTGATTAATTAAATATGCAGCAGTAAGAATAGATCAACCCAAAAAGGTTTAGAACTTTCATTTTAAACATTAGATGACGGGCTACCTCTATAAGATGACGATTTTTACGTTCAGTTACTCAATTTTGTTGTGGGGTAACAATACAAGAGGACTGATGAATTATGCCATGTTTATTCATAAAATTAGTGAAGGATGTAGAAAAATATTCTTTAGCATTATCACTTCTAAGAATGCGCACACAAGTATTAAATTGAGTTTTAATTTCAGCACATAAATTACAAAATATAGAAAAGACTTCATATCTAGATTTTATAAAAAATAACCGTGGTACACGAGAATAATCATTCATAAAGGTAATAAAATATTTAAAACTAAATTTAGAAGTAATTGGACAAGGGCCCAAACATTAGAATGAACAATTTCAAAGGAAGCATAAGCCTTTTTATTTAGGAAAGAATGTTACTACCTCTACCAATAATCCTCTGTGTCACCAAATTCTGAAAAACACAAGAATTAGGAAAGAATGTTACTAAACAATTTAATGATGAAGTGATTTGGCTAATGGACAACAAATTTAAAAGGAATTGAGGTAAATATAAAATAGAGGATAAAGATAAGATTGAAACTAGGGTGGTACACCCACTGCCTTAATATGTGGCTGCAATCTCAACCACAAGGAAACATAACCACTTGGACAGACCTTGTCAATAAACTCCTTACCAAGTATTTTCCACCATCTAAAACTGCCAAATTAAGAGGAGATATTACATCATTTGTGCAGCAAGAAGGAGAATCTTTATATGAAGCTTGAGAAAGATATAAAGAGTTATTAAGGAAGTGTCCACACTATTGCATACCAGAATGGATGTAGCTGAAAACTTTCTATAATAGAATGAGTCTAGCCACTAGAACTATGATTGATACAGTTGCAGGAGGATCATTGATTACAAAATCATTGGAGGAAGCTCAACAAATTATAAAGATGATGGCTTCATCTATGTACCAAAATTCTAATTCTAGGCACTCTACAAGGAGCAGAGGATATAAAGCTAAAATAGTTGAGACCTTCCTTACGCAAAACCAGTTGCAAAACTAAGTGTTCTCGGAGCAAATTGCTGCATTAACTCAACAAATAAGCAATTTACAAGCTGCTTCAATTCAGAACATACAACTTAGTTGTGATTTTTGTTGAGGAAATCATGTTAATGGTGCATGTGATGCACCTACAAATGAACCTCAAGAGCAAATTAATTGTACAAGAAATTTTCAGAGACAACAACCTTCATTTTCACCTGGTTTTCAGTACTCTAATAGCAGAAACTAATAGTATTATAATTGGAATTCTAAAAATTCTGCTGCAAAGAATTCTAATTATGCTTTACCTTTTTCTGGTGCAGGTCCAGCAGCACAACAATCCTATTTTTAAGGAAATCTAGCCACTCAACCTCAAAGAAATCAAAATTCTCCAAGCCTATGACTGAAAGGTTGAATGAGATGGAGGAAACCATGCTGTAATTTATGAAAGTGACCCAAACAAGCTTCAAGAATCAATAATCTTCCATGTAAAAGCTTAAAACTCAAATTAGACAGCTGACTGAACAATTGACCAATAGAGAAGAGGGGAGATTTCCTAGCAATGCAGTTGTTAATCCAAAAGAACAATGTCAAGTTGTAATAACTAGGAGTGGAGCTGTTATGAGGAGTCCCAAACCTGCCAAAAAGAGAGAAAATAATTCTGCTTTAGAGGAGAAGTTAAAGTCTGACTTGGATGAAGGAAAATTTACCTTGTTGAAAAGAGAAAATTCAGAAAAAGAAATTTCTCTAAGGGCTGTGAGAAAGACAAAGAGGCAAATACTTGAGGAAGCAAATCAGCCTATTGATAAGGAGAAATTCAAGAGACTTCCTTACCCTCAAAGACCCAATCCAAAACAAGAAAAGTAATTTGAGAGGTTTCTAGATGTCTTCAAGAAACTTCAAATAAATATTCCTTTTGCTGAAGCACTTGAGCAAATGCCTTCCATGCTAAATTCATGAAGGATCTGTTATCTAAGAAGAGAAAGCTTGAGAATTGTAAATAGTCCCTTTGACTGAAGAATGCAGTGCTATTTTGCAAAGGAAGCTCCGTAAAAAATTAAATAATCCAAGTTGTTTTATCATTCCATGTTCCATTGGAAATTGTATCGTGGGAAAAGCTTTATGTGATCTTAGAGCCAGCATTAATCTCATGCCTCTTGCTATCATGAAGAGACTTGAAATAGAGGAAGTCAAGCCTACTAGCATAACTTTACAACTTACGAACAGATCTTACACATATCCTTATGGTGTTGTAGAGGATTTGCTAGTTAAGATTGACAAATTTATTTTCCTGCAGATTTTGTAATTTTGGACATGAAAGTGGATGTTGTCATTCCTTTAATTTTGGGCAGACTATTGTTAGCCACGGGGAGATGGATTGGGATTTCCAAGACTGATTACTCTACTTTGTGAAGATGCAAGAGTAAATCTTGGGGAATACTATGAGAAAATTAAAGCCACTCCTCCCATTACAGCAGGTATGATCAAGGAAATATATGTCACCACACCAGTCACTACTACCTCATCTATCCCTACAAAATTTAAGAAGGATACTCCTCTCAAACTTAAGGCCCAATTGTAGAAAATTTTGGACAGACAAGATTCCTTGGCTAAGAGGTAGAATGCCTTATATGAAAGTAACAAGGCTGGAGTTCTCTTGCTGAAAAATATAATGCTGAACATTGGTAAAAAGATGGCATGGCAAAAGAGCAACTCTATGAGTCAGAAGTAGAAAATGCCTAATGCCTTAGAGCCACCGCATTCAACAACCTACCTCTCTTCAACACTTCCCCAAGAGCTGAAATAGAAGAAAGTACTAAGAGTGAAGAAGAAGAGGAGGGTTCAGATGAAGAGGATGTAGAAGAATAGTTTAGGAATTTAGTTTTTAATATTTTTCTTTTAATTTTCAGATTGTGTACTTTTTATTGTTTAGGAACTTTAATCTCTGCAAGTTTAGTTAGATAATTTTCAGCTGTTCAGAACATATTTTAATACTTTTTCAGTAGTAATGAAGTATAATTTCCATTTAGTTTATTTCTGTATTTTAATTACTCTATTTTTCTGCATTATTGATGGGAATTTCGATGTTTTGTGCAGAATATGCCACTATCACACAGCACCCAAACACTTGGAATTGACACTTGCACAAGTTGCCGTAAAAAGGGTGAATTTTGTACATCTTATTCATGAGTTTAGCTTCACATACACTGAAAAATTTCTAGAAAAACACAAATATATGTTTAGATTTTGAACTGTATATAAACGAAAATTCTGTGAATTCTGATTTATTTTTTTTAAGCTATTTTTCCTATTCTCGCATGATTGTCACACTTGTAATTTTCAAAATGAGGTAGTCTTGCCACTTTGTGCATATAGTTATGAAAAAGTGAATTGTGAGCCTGATTGTTGACATGTTCACTTTAAAATTCTTTGGTGAGATTTGAGCCTCATGTATAGCAATTCTTGTTATGTGAAATTAATTTCATTTGTTGCTGCACCTCTAGAACTTGCTTTATTTCTTGATTGAATATGTAATTTACAGATCTCACATGTGTGATGGAGGCTTACTTTGGTCATGCTTAGTTAGCCTAAATGAACCTCCTTTATGTTGAGAATTCTAGTTCGCCCCTTTTGAGCCTTTAACTTTTTTTTTTTTTTTTGGTAAAACTTCAATATAAGCTTTACTGAAAAGCCATTAGACCTATCCAAATTAGAAAGAGGTAATTTGTGTTTAATCAAAGATGATTTTTAAAACTAAGTTTAGGGTGACATTTTATATGATATTGCTTGAGGACAAACAAAGCTCTAAGTTTGGGGAGTAGAACAGCAGCATAATCTGAGTATTTGAAAAAGAAAAATGAAAAGCAAAGTCTTGAAAAGAAGAAAAAGAAAGTGAAAAACAGAAGAAAAGAAAAAGAATTGAAAAAGAATTTTCTACATAATTGATGCAATGATATTTCTTTAAATATTGCATAAATTTTGAAAATTCTGTGCAGATTTAGATGAATAAGAAAGAGAATGCAATTTCAATCTAAGTTTTTATTTTATTTTCATCTATTTGAATTGTATCTTTTCTTTTTGGAAGTAACCACATTGTTTACATAAATGATTGAACACCTACCTCTCCATTAACCTCAATTTTACCTGAAAAAGTCCTCTTGATATGTGATTTACTGTATATGTGCAGAGGAGATTGAGAATATTTGCAAGCCTATGGTAGAGTGTAGTAAAAATGATTTTTGAGAGTAAACATTGAGCCTAAACGTTGTTGAGTGATGAGGGAAACACTACTTCTGAGCTGTGAATCACGTTTCTTAATTTTGCTCACATGAACCTTTGCTGAACTATATGAACTCAGATGACAAGCTCTTGTTATAATAAGATTAATTTAGTGTGATTTTCATAGTGAATGAGTAGAGAAATAGCTTGATTGAGAATGAGAAATCAGAAAAACACAGAATTGGAAATTTGACAAATCTTAAAGAAAGGCAGCTTCCTAATTGAATTTTAATTAGTGGATCAATTTTTTCCCTTTAAGTTGATTTGGTTTGCTTGAGGACAAGCAAAATTCTAAATTTGGGGTAGTGATAAATCCACATTATACTATATTTTTTAGTATAGTTTTGTTAATAAACAAGTAGTAAAGTGCTAAGTAAACTTGGAAATATCATAAAAATTACATCAATATTCATAATTGTATAAATAGTTAGAATTATAGATTTTATTCCAAATATGAACAATTTGACTCAAACAGACTTAATTTTTGTGCAGAAGCTTGAGCTGAGAATTTGAAGTTGATATTGAAGTGGAAAAAGTAAAATGATTGACTCTAAAAGAGCAAGAATCAGATGATAAGTGTTGGGCATAACCACTTTGAGTACATAGAGTTAACACTTTGAAGAAAAAAAATCCATGAAGATTAAGAGAGTAACAACTCTAAGTGGTGAAAGTGAACACTCCAGCAGCAGAAATCCTGAAAGATCTTGCGCATGTACACTCTAAGCGCTGAGAGTAGCTACGCAAAATGCACATGTCCACTATATGTGTTGAAAGTAGCTATGCAGTAAGCGCATGTCCACTCTATGCATTGAGAGTAGCTATGTAGTAAGCCCATGTCCACTCTATATGCTGGGAGTAGCTACATATAAGGCTTTTTCATATAGAATACTTGCGAGTGGACACTCTTACCATTTCAAGTGTCCACGCAAAATAACAGAATTTTGAAAATAACAGAATTTTGAAAATCACTTTTAAGTGTCAACTTTGGACGATTTGAGTTCCTAATTCAGTTGTAGAAGCTTCTAGAAGACCTTCTATGCTATAATCCTCAGAGATTAACATGTGGAATCAGAAAAGGAGAAAAAAACATTATAAATAGAAGTTAGAAGTTCAGATTGGGAGACTTTTGTTTATTTTTTGTTATTTTCACTTTGTAACTGTTTTAACTTCCAAAGGAAGTCAGAGAGAGAGATTGGGAGCGACTTTCAAGCTTTATTGCTAAAGGAATCAGGGTGAAGATTGATTCTTGGAAGATGTTCTTATGCTTCTTGTCTTCTTCTTCTCTTACTTCTCCTTCTTCCATTGTAACGTTGTTCTAAACCTTTTTTTATTAGGGATCTATGGATCTAGATTTGATATTGTGATGTAATTTTGGATTTAGATCTTCAGATTTTAATGGAATTAAGTATGTGATTCTGTTCTTAATACAATTGTGAACTAATCCTTCATTCAATTGAACTTAGAGGAATATTCATTAATTGAAATTGAGTTTATTTCCCATA